TATTGATTAGCAATTATAACATACATAGATTAATTAATTAGTAAGATACAATAACGTATTTAAGAGATTAGTTTTTCCCAGCCAAATTTACACAAAAAAGTAAAAAACACTGACAAATACATTGTTTTGATGAAATACTATAAGAAAAAACTAAAATAGTTTCATCTTTATTTTAAAAACTAAGATATTTTAGTTTTTTTTTTAATAAAAACCAATTAAAACGAGGTAACTTTTGAGTATTAAGTCTATTATTGTTATATGAATTAATCTAATTAAAAATAAATTTTGATTGGTTTTGAATTAATTTATTTTAATTAGAGTTGGATGAATCGATTTAGATCGAATTTAAACATTGGTGCATTCCCCTACATGGCCCGTGTGGCGACACTGCTCGGCACCAAAGTGGAATATATCCTTTGGTCTTGAGGTCGAATTCTCTCAGTGCTGGACAGATGCTAATTTAACCATACAATTTCCATTGTCACAAAAAAAAAAAAAAAAAAAAAAAACATTGGCAGTGCCTGCCCCTGTAACATGAACCATATTAATGGTATGAGCAGTACTAGGGGCACTCGCCTCCTGCACTCTCCGGTCAACACTTCCACTTTCATTGGGCCACGTAAGCTTGCTTAGGTGGTTTTGCAACGCAACCTCTTTAGTCAAAATAACGTGGCCCAATCAAAATGAGAGTGTTGACAGGAGAGTGCAGGAGGCGAGTGCCCCCTATAACTGCTATTAATAGTATTTTTTCTTTTTTAACAAATTTGTAAAGGGTTGGATTCGAACCGTTACCCTGAAGATGAAAAAATACATTTATACGTAACCTAACGCCATTGAGCCCAAAAGCCCAAGTGCCTGCTCTTAATAGATTAAGTAAGCTAATTATATTACATTTCATACTTTATAACGTGTAAATTACAATTTAATTTTTTCCATGATTACTTGTTATATTTCATAATACTCTTTTCATTTCAAAATAATAAACATTTTTTTATTTAAAATTTGTCTCAGAATAATAGTAATATTTTTTTTCTATCTCAAGGGAGACATTTTTTCTTTGCTTTAACCTTATAATTATTTCTTAACTTTAATAATTCATTTTAGAATTAAAATAGTTTTTATTTATAATTATTTTTTAGGAAAATTATATATATTCCTTGCAAAGTTACATATTCCATTATACATTGATGGTTTTTATTACTTAATTTATTCATTAAACACTAACGATTTTTGTTACTTGTGCTCGGAACAGTAGCCCTCATTTAATTGAAACCGTCAGTATTTAACAGGGAAAGTAATAAAAACTATTAGTGTATAACTTTACATGGTGTATGTATCATTATTCTATTTTTTAATGATAAAAAAAGTAAAAATATAAAATGTTTCCAAACCCTTAATCTAAAAATAAAATAGAAAAAAGTTTATTAGTTTAGGATGAAGAGTATAAACTTGTGTGGTTTGCGTCAAGCGAAGGGAGGATGCGAGTAAATTTTCTTATTTAGATTAAAAAAAAA